AAGGGGATAGTGACCAAACTTGCCAGAGGAAATACCCAAGGAATTTATATAAGTATTTGGATGCTCTTCTGCTTATAGTCTCATTAAATGTAAACTGAAGTAGCCATAGAGGCCAAATATTATCATTCTGATGTGTATGTGTTTAGCTTGACTGTTACTAAAGGAACAGTCAGCTCAATATAATTTCACAGTTTACTGGAGAGGTCAGCAAACTTTCTGTAAAAAAACAAATAGTAAATATGCTAGGCTTTCTGAGCCATATTGTCTCTATCACAACTAGTCAACTCTGCCACTGTAGGATAAAAGCAGTCATAGGTGGTGATGGTTATTTTTAGGAGTTAACTTAGTGAATACAGAGTATCAAGTTATTTAATCAAACATTGATTTAGGCATTGTTGTGAAGAGATTTTGTAAATGTGCTTAACATTTACAATATGTTGACTTTAAGGAGATTATCCTTGATAATATGATGGGCCTCATCTAATCAGCCTTGAGAGCAAAAATAGCTTTTCTGGAGAAAAAAATCTGCCTCAAGGCTATACTTACCCGCTTGTTGGAGTTTCTGGCCTTCTGGTCTACCCTACAACTGTGGTAGCCCATTCTCTAGATACAGAGATAGGTAGTACTATTATGTACTATTTGTTCTGTTTCTCTGGCCAACCCTAATACATAGACAATACATAAACATAGCCAGCCTGTGTTCCAATAAAACTTTTTACAATAATAGGCAGTGAACCAGATTTGGCTTGTATACTATATTTTCCCAACCCCTAGTACTATTAATAATAAAAGATACTTGCTTTTGTTTAAAACCACGTTTCAGGCAGTGTGAAATGTGCTTCACATATGAATTCCAAGTGTCTAATAAATTGGTTATTGCTTCTGATCAGCTTATATATTTTGGAGTAGCTATATGAGCAAAAATGATATTCCTAGAACCAGTGAGCTCTTGATCATGAGCTTAGGTATAAGAAAGGGTTTCTCAGAGAGGTGGGTTGTATCCACCCCCCCATTTTTTTCAGTGAGGGTTTTAAATTGGTACTCTCTTTACTTGTTTTTATATTGTTTCATCTATTAGCTTTGGGGATTGAAAATTATTGCAGCGGAAATCAACCAACAGAGTGTCTTGGATGTTTATTTATTAAATGTGTTACCTTTTGATCAAACTCAAATTTCTAAGATTACCTTCAATTTAGGGAAAAATTAAAATTCATAAAATCACTAAATCAGGGGTTTATCATTTTTGGAATGAAAGGGATTCCTCACATCAAAGATTTAAAGCACAGAATCCTTAAGTAAGAAGAAGAGTCTTGGGGCGCCTGGGTGGCTCATTCGTTTAAGCATCTGCCTTCAGCTCAAGTCATGATCTCAGGGTCTTGGGTTGAGCCCCCTGTGGGGAATCTGCTTCTTCCTTTCCCTCTGACCCTCTTCCCAGCTTATGCTCTCAAATAAATACATAAAATCTAAAAAAAAAAAAAAAAAAAAAAAAAAAAAGATGAGTTCTCAATCTATGATTAAATAATATTACATATTTAAAATTATCTATACCTTGGGGCACTGGGTGGCTCAGTCAGTGAAGCACTCAACTCTTGCTTCCAGTTCAGATCATGACTCGGTCGTGAGATGAAGGCCTGTGTCAGCTTCACTCAGTGTGGTCAGCTTGGGATTCTCTCCTTCCCCAACCCCATGCATGCTCTCTCTCACTCAAATAAATAAATACAATCTTAAAAAAATAAAATTACTCATAACCTTTTTAAAAAAGATTTTATTTATTTATTTGACAGAGACACAGCGAGAGAGGGAACATAAGAAGGGGAGGGGTACGGGGGAAGGAAGCAGGCTCCCCACTGAGCAGGAAGCCCGAAGTGGGGATCAATCCCAGGACCCTGTGATCATGGCTTGAGCTGAATGTAGACAATTAACCGACTGAGCCACCCAGGTGCCCCAAATTACCCATAACTTTAAATAGTTGATTCCCAAATTGGTTGATGCTACAAGGCTTCCTTTCCAGGGATTAAGATTTCCATTTAAGAAGAAATTGTCATCCTTTCTCTTCAACTCAGGGACCTGCCTATAACCACTCTTTTCTCATCCCCAGTATTACCTCCTGTAACTCAAAAGTTTAAGAAATAACCTACATTTAAAAATTATTTGATTTATAAAAAGCAAACATGACCACACTTTTTCAAGATCACATTGTTTATTCAAAGTGAAGAGTATCTATAAGATTGCCCTCACATAGAGAAACATCTTAGAAGGTTAGGTTGTAGAATGACAAAAAATGAACACTGGAACTTTTTTTTTTAAATTTTTTTAAGATTTTATTTATTTATTTGACAGAGATCACAAGTAGGCAGGGAGGCAGGCAGAGAGAGATGGGGGAGAAGCAGACCCCTGCCGAGCAGAGAGCCCGATGCGGGACTCGATCCCAGGACCCTGAGATCATGACCTGAGCTGAAGGCAGAGGCCTAACCCACTGAACCACCCAGGCACCCGACACTGGAACTTTTAAATTCAATATCTGAAAGAGAATTTTCTAAGCTATTAGATAGTTGAAGAAATGTTTAACCATAAGAGGAAAGGGCTCTTATAACCATGACCAAACGACAAATTTATAAAGTAGAAGGAGGAAATTCATAATAGTAAATAAGAGCCTAATTTAGAGAAGAAGCCAAGTTCAGAAATGGGAACCAATATGAGTGGTGTGGGCAAGTGAACCAAGATCTTTAGATACAAAAACGTATGTCAGAGTTGGTCCAAGGACAAAAACTTTAGCAAAGGAAGGTCAGTTAGGGGAATTTTGTGGGGAAAACAAAAAAAAAGACAATTATGGAGTCTAAATTGGTCAAACAGTTCTGAATTCAAAAATTTTGCCTGTCAAATCATTTTGTACTGATTTTTAGTTCAGAAAATACAGTCACCATTGTAACTCATCTGCATCCACAATTTCCATCAAATTGTCTTTAACACAGGAAAATCTCAATGATTATTTGTTAATAATGATAATTATGTGGAAACTCAAATCAGAGAAGGTATTTTAAAAAACAATATCTAACCATTCTTAAGGAATAAAAACATAGTTATCAGTGATCTTTATCCAATTACTAGGGTTGCTAAGAAATTAGAGTCTGGAAGGTATGTTTTGCACAGAAAATTGGTGCCACACTCACCTCTGCTGATATCATCAGTTCTGGGTGGGGAGGAAGCCATAATCTGCCAAAATCTGAACCATTCTTGCCAGGTTTGGGGGTTCTGTAGAGAAGTTACTGCTACCAGGTATGACTGCCATAGCTCAGGAAAATGGTACAGCCATTCCTCTTAGCGTAGAAAACACTTGAGATGATGTTTAAGGGACCTATAAAATATTAAGCCCCAGAAACACAGTATTAGCAGTGGTTTAGACATGGAATACAATAGGTAATAGTTATGGAGAGCTTACTACGTTCCAGGAACTGATGACTATCTCATTTAATCCTTTCAACAACCCTAAGGAGTACGAGTATTGTTATCAACCCCATTTTACAGAAACAAGTTTCAGCAAGGTTAAGGAATTGCTCAAGACAAGAAAGGTAGTAAGATAAGAGGCACAACTAGGATTTGTATTCATGCAGTCTGGTGCTTCAGGTGTGTGTATCAATCAACAGCCACAAAGCTAGAGGTATATTCAAACAGGCTGAGGAAAAAAATGTGTTTCCTAAAAAGGGCAAATTAATTTCCTCTAAAGTAACATACGAGGTGCTCTTTAATTCACATCCTGAAAAAATAGACTGGCATTTACCTGCCAACTTTAAATGGTAATAAAAATTTACATTTTACAATTTATTTATAATAGTGAAGCATGGACAATCTGTTAGTCTCCCAGAGTGAAATGGGATAAGTGATAGTGCATTCCCTTCAGATGAAATGACAAAAACAAACAAACAAACAAAAAAAACATATAAAACTCCTACGTCATTAATTAGAATTACTTGAATGCAATGCATTGCTTAAAACCTAATAAAATAAGTCACTTTAAAAAATCAGGTGCCCTGAGTAAGCCTACAAGTTTCAATAACTTATCTTTACCGGTAAAGAACTTTACGTTTGATAAATTATTCAAAATACGCACAATATCACCTGAATCCACGTAATATCTAAACCCACATAAATTGTGGCTTTCTTCTCTTACTCCCTTTTTTTACTAATCCTTTATATATTAAGTTTACCACACTTGGAGGTTTTTGGAAGTTTCGCCTAATTTTAACCAGACCATTTACCTCACAATTTTCTTCCAAGTGAATTTTTACTGCAAAATCTGTAGCTACACTATCAAAGATAGGTACCAGGATTTTAAAAGACATAACTGCAAAAGTACACCACCACCAAGACTTAATGACCACCAAGGAACGGTCCCGGAGAAACCTGCTCCTACCCTGAAAGGGGAGGGCTCGCAGACCACAAGCAGGGCAGGAAGGGAGCGGGAGGAGGGGAGGTCGGATGAAGCAGTGCTTAAGTCAATAAACATTCGCGGCGCCACTTACCAAGAGCCAAAAAAAAAAAAAAAAAGAAAAAGAAAAAGAAAAGAAAAAGAAAAAAATAGCTGGGCGGTACTTCAAGCAGTGGGTCCTGCAGCTTTGCGGGAGGGGGCAAGAGCCTGTAGCGGGGACTCGGGCGCCTGGGAGCGGTAGGGCTGGACCAGAACCTCTCGCCAACCAGGCGAGGGCGGCCAACCAGGGACAGGCCTCTAGCGCCCAGCTCCCGGCGTCCGCACCCTCACTGGCCCAGCCGCCAGCCCGCCAGCCTACCCGCCGCAGCTGCTTACCAGTGGCGCCTCGCTGCCTCCCCGGGGGGCAGCCCTTCAACGGTTGCCGCAGTCAGAGCACCACCCCGCGGTAGGGTACGTCGAGCCCGCCCGCAGCTCTCGGGTCCCCGCAGCACCGCCCCTCTCGCGAGAAGTCGGCGGAGCCTGTGAAGTTGGGGGCGGGGGAGAAGAAGGGAGGGGCTTTCAACGGTGGCGGCCGGTTCTGCGCCGGATCCGGGCGAGGGGCGGGCGCCATTGTGCTTCTCTGCGGAGTGCCCTGGTTTATTTAGGGGCCTTGATCTCCGAGGAAGAAGGCGGTGGTCGCTTCGAGCAGGACGCGCCCTGTACAGTGCCAGCTCGGGAGCAGGGGTAATAAGCTGCGGCGCCCGGGCTTCTCCCTCTGGGGGAGTTGGTTCTAACCAAGGCCGCGTGGGGGAGGGGAGGAAACGAAGTGCAGGCCTGGGGACGTGGAGGCTGCTTCCCTCGTCTTTAGTTGGGGCGGAGGAGCGTGATCGGCGCCGCGGTTACGGAGGGCGGCCGGGCGCAGGCCTCGACCGGTGGCCTTTTCGTCTCGTGGTGGAGTTTGTGACGGGTAGAGGGGCAGATTGTACGTCTTCCTGATGAACGTGTGGTCGGCGAGGGCAAGGGGCTTGGGTATTGCTTTGGCCTTTGGCGGCCTCCTCTTGGATGGGGGTAAGGAGGATCCTCCGGAACCCTGCGGGCCGGGAGTGTCACGAGTGAGGTATTTAGTGAGCGCCGTGTGGAGGGCGGGGAGGGTTGGGACTCCGCCAACTCGGTCTCCAGTTGAAGGGACTTTGCCAGCCCTTAAGTTGCGGTGAAGATTTGGTCATTGATCGCTCCATTTCTTGACTATCGTGTTACTTTGGGAGTTTTGTGTCGTGGGAAATTGTATGTCCTTCAAATTGAAATGGTTGGTGGTATATATATATAAAACGGACCTGTTGGCCTAAGAAGTGAAAATCTGGAAGGCATCAGTTGTAGATATTCTCTCATTTTGATGGAACTGCGTAGTGAAGATGAACACGTACGGAGAAGCACCATAAAATATTACAATTATTTTTTTTTTCTACGTGCACATGTAGATAGTAGTAAATGGGGAAAATCTGTCCCGGTAGTGGATTCGTCACCACTAGTGTCGTTTGGCACTACTGGGAGTAAATGTGCCAAAGTGAAATTGAATTTAGTAAGTTTTTTTTTTTTTTAATTTTGTAGGACTTTTTAGGTTTTTTTTTTTTTTGTAAATTATTTTAAACTTCCCCGAACTCCTTTCTCACTTTTCTGTCAAGAGCTAAGGTAAGGTTAAAAATGAATTTTTGACTTAAAAACCAAACAGTATACTTTTGTTAACAAGGGAAACGCATGGTGTAACTAGATTTTTCAAGAGGACAAACATTTTGTTTCAGGAATGAGGATCAGTATTTCATTTACAGCTCTACAGCCTCTTGTGAAACAGTTGTGTCTGAGGGATTTAGAGTCAGAAGATCTGGGTTTGGGTCTTAATTTTGCCATAATTATTTAACCTGTGTTTTCTTAGAAACATAGCACTTTTCCTTGAGTTGAGGTGGGAATTAGATTAGGTGAGGTAGCTGATAGTAGTGGAACACCTAGGGGAAGTAATGCTCTGGTAATGAATTTTTAATGGATATAAAACAATTGGAATTGATACCTGAAGTCCAGTTGTTCATATTCTGGTCAGAATAACCTTAAAATTTTACTCTGCCTGTGGTACCCCTTCCCTCCAATAATGTAAGTTCCATACTACAAATGTTTTTAGATAAGAACTTTTAAAACTTTTCCTTTGCTGTAAATTTATGCCACAGATGTAAGCTTGTGGGTATGCATGGTCTTGATTTTTTTCCAAAGTTGCATGCGGGGTCAGATGTCTTGAATAAGAATGATTAAAAATTCCTACTGACTTAAATACAGGTGATTACTCTTTTGCAGCACTGGCAAGAGAGCTTATTGTCCAAGATAAAGCACAGAGATTCCCTTATATAGACATACACCTATGTTCTACATGAAGATGTCAGATAATCAACTGACACGTCATCCATGGCTCTCATACAGCCAATGTTTAATGAGCTCCATATCCATTTCACACAACTCTTCATCTTCTGTATGTTTAGGAGTTGCCCATGTTTTAATATTTTAGGAAAATAATAGTGCAGAATTATCAAATTATGTGAAACATTTTTTGATAATTTGTTATTCATTGTATTCTGGCTACTAGACCAAGGCTTCATGTTACATGAATGCGCTTGACACAACATCTGCCTTCCACAACTCACAGTTCAGTCATGAGACTAATGTATAAACAACTACTGTTATTATCACAGTGTAAGAATATAGTAGTACTGTGGGAGCACAAAAATTGAACAAAGGTTCAATCTTTGGGGAAATTTTTTACAGGAAGTATTGCTTGAACTGAGATGTTAAGGTGACTAGCAGTTTGATAGGAAACTGCAAAGTCATGGTATGGTATTTTGTTTTAGGAATGGACAATTTGTTCCCATAACTGCAACAAATTAGAAGGTGACATGAAAGACCTACTGTTTCAGAAAGTGCTCTATGCTGTGGGAATGGAGAGTTATTGTGTCTCTAAGCCCAATAAAAAAGATTTTTAGATTATCTTTACTGACAGCATCCTTCTGTTACTGCAGATAATTAAGTGCCAGTAATGAAGAACAATGGGAAATGCATAAGTGGAATGCAGACTGAAATGCGTTAAACCTTACTTTTTTAAGCAACAAATTTAACTTAACTAGTGAATGTTTTAACTCTTAAATTTAACAGAATTAACTGATCACATTAGAATTACAACATAAAATAAATATAGATTTTGAATTACTTGTAAGATCTATTTTAAATCACTAAAGCAAAATTCTGTTGTAATGATTTGTTATTTTTATAGAGACTCTATCTTTAATACAATTGCTAATAGTAAGGTGAACCCAAGGGTGGGTACAAAATTCTAATTTGAGCGTGGCTGGGGTTTAATTTTCATTGATCTTAACTTTTCTATTCTGGTCTGAACTCATGTGGTCAAAACTGGTTTTTCTTGCTCTCAAATACATTTCTTTGTGGCTCTACCAGTTAAACTACATGTTGAACATCTGGTTTTGAAATCACCTACTGCTCTACACCCAGTTTTGTCAACAGGTTTAGAAGAGGGCAAATTTTGAACCTTAAAAGCTAGGTTCTCACCTTTTATTAGGATCTTTGCACTTCAGTGTAAAGTGTTTCTCCCCTTCCAAAAAAAAAAAAAAACTCTAACATGGTGTCCACTCTGAATGAAGATTGAAACTTGACATTTACAGATTAAGTATACTTCAGATGAGAACAGATTGTCTTATAAAGTAGCATAGACTTAATAGTCATATTTTCTCGTGAAGACATTAAACCTTTTTCTGATTATTATTTCAGGCATGGGTATATCTTTGTTTTAAGTATCTGTCATCTAAAAATGCAGAGGCTTGGGGCTCCTGGGTGGCTCAGTGGGTTAAAGCCTCTGCCTTCAGCTCAGATCATGATCCCAGGGTCCTGGGATTGAGCCCTACATTGGGCTCTCTGCTCAGCGGGGAGCCTGCTTCCTTTCCAATCCCCCAGCCTCTCAGCCTACTTGTGATCTCTGTCAAATACATAAAATCTTTAAAATAAAAAAGAAACAAAAATGCAGAGGCAGTTTTTAAGAAGACTTTCTGTCTTCTAACATAGCTTCCACATCTCCATATTCACTAGGATCAATAAAACACTCGCATTTCCCATTTAAGTATATATCTGTTTTTTCCTCCAGAAGCAGATTTTTTAAAGAAAAGGCTATACCAAATAGAGGTAAATAATGGAATTATGTTTACAATTCTGAAAGACTAGTGGCTATTAGAATACATAAGTATTTTGTGTGGTAACTCTGGCCTTTCATGCCATGAATTTATTGTATAGTAGTATTGTGCTCTTGATAATTCACTAACTTCAACTCCCTTAGATGTTTGACAAATTCTGAAATAGAATCCGATTTTTCATAGAAACTGGGTACTTAAAGATACTTTGTAGAAAAATTAAAACTAGGATGAGTTATGAAACTTTATTGCTTCATAGGAAACCACCTCAAAACCTAGTGGATCAAAACTGCTGTTTACTATTACAATTCTGTGTACCTGTTAATCAGTTCTGTTGGTTTTGCCAGGGTTCACCCATGGACCAGCATTCATCTGTAGGATTTCTCAGACTGGAAAGTCCAAGATAGTGTTACTCACATGTCTGATTGTTGGTATTGGTTGACATTTAGGCTTTACTCCATGTGGCCTAATGACACATGGGTCCCAAGACAGCATTCCAAGAGAGTGAAAGTGGAAGTTATAAGACTTTTACAGCCTTTCAGATCGTACAATGTCACTTAAAACTTCATTCTCTTAGTCAAAGTAAATGTCACAAGACTAGCCCATATTCAAGGGGTGGGGAAAAGTAAGATTTTACCTCCAGCCACATCACAGTATAAAGAGGTATGTGTACTTGGATGGGAGAAATTTGGAGCCCTGTTTTGTAATTTACCACAAGTTGCTTAGAACAGTTTTTAGTACAGGCAGTCTTACAGATGTCCTGATTGGGATTTGCTTTAAAATGGAGGATGATAAAATAGATTATAAGATAGGTCAGATGTTGATAATTGTTGGAGACTGTCGATTGGTACATGGAGGTTTATTACTGTTTCTAGCATATTTTTGAAATTTTTTATAGTAAATTTTTTAAGGCATACTTGGGTATTTGAAACATTTTTGTGAGTGATTTTAACCTACTTAATATTTACTAGAATAGTACCTCTTTGTTTAATATTTATTTCTTTTGTGGTATGTGGATACTAAAGAGGGTAGACCAGTAGTACTGCAATTTAGGGACTTATTAGAAGTTCTTTATAGATTTTATTAGAAGTTATTGAGAAAACATGTCTTTTCACTTGCAAATAACTGTTTCCCTTAATTATAAAAGAAAGACCAGGGGCACCTGGGTGGCTCAGTGGGTTAAAGCCTCTGCTTTCGGCTTAGGTCATGATCCCAGCGTCCTGGGATCAAGCCCTGCAGTGGGCTCTCTGCTCCGCAGGGAGCCTGCTTCCTCCTCTCTCTGCCTGCCTCTCTGCCTACTTGTGGTCTTTGTCTGTCGAATAAATAAATAAAATCTTTAAAAAAAAAAAAAAAAGGAACACCAAGTACATTAAAGAAATTTTGGAAAACTGAATATAAAGCAGAAAACAAAACCCAACCAGAGATAATAAAATATTAATAATGCTTATTTTTCCCAATTTTTTTCATACACTTAAATAGGCAAGGTATTTTTTTAGATAATAATCCTCCCAT